TAGTCTGTCTTCGCCTCACTCATTAAGGTGCCATTGGGTTGCATTGAGGGTGACAAAGACAAACACACCGGCCGGTGAACGAGCGCCGAGCCAAAGGGGCCTGTGCTAATTACAATGCTGCATCTGAGATAGTTATGCACACAGAAGTCCGGTCATGCTAGTTACAAAAATTGTGCTCAGACTTTTAGAGTGTTTCAGGTGGAGACAACTGACAACCAGCCTCAGCCACGCAAGTGGCTCTTGGTCTTATCGCCCCGTGACTCATATAAATCACGAACCACCTCGCAAATTCTTAGGAAACGACGCTGAGACTGCCGAGATTGAAGTGACGGATTAAACGCCTGTTTGACCGGTGTTATTTTGGCCCTGTGTGCTCGCAGGGAAAAGCCCGAGCGTTATGGACGTTTTCCTTCAACAAGAAATCCCACCAGAGTATACTGGGGACATTACACAACAGCCAAACGTAACTGCAGACTCGTATCATCGGTACAAGGAAGACGTAGCAATGGCAGCCACCCTCAAGGTACAGTGCTAGATGAAAAACTTTATATTTCCTCACGATTCTTTGGTGACAATTAAGTTTAACGACAATTATCGGTTTAGCTTCAAGTTTACAGGTTCTCTGTGTCATGGCCTCGTGTCCTACCAGAAGGGGATACCTCCAAAATAAATCAGGATGGCGTCAACTACTACAACAATCTTATTAATGAGCTCATAAAGAACAACATTCAGCCCATGGTGATTTGACTCACATTGGTCGAGGTGTAGAATATAGTCTTCACAAAAAGAACGGCTCCAATAACAAAAATCGAATTTCCAGATAACAATGAACCACTTTGACTATCCGTTGGCAACTCTCAAGAAAACTGGAGGCTGGGCTAACAAGGCTATCGTCCCAGCGTTTAGAGAGTACGCAGACTTTCTCTTCAAAACCTTCGGCGACAGAGTAAGCGAAACGGCAAAAAAAAAAAAAAAATCATCGCGCAAGTTTTGTTCCATCGAGAGTTAAAGTTGACATCTTCCAGGTGCGCCTGTGGACCACGATTAACGAGGCCAACTACTACTGCATGAACTTCGCCCTCCTACCCGTGCCGGGCTTGTATACGCCCCAGGTCGGCGACGACTACAAGTGCGTCCACCACACGATCCTCGCACACATGGAGGCCTACCGCGTGTACGAGGAGAAGTACCGCAAGACCCAGGGAGGTGAGGTCGCGTTCGACTTGTCCTGCCACACACTCAGAAAAATTACTATTTCAAGCACATTTTGACCAATACTGTGACAAAACTAGGAGCGAGCTTTTCTTATGGGAGCTCTTCCCTCTTCCGCGCTCCTGGCTGTGTTCTCGTATAAGATCCTACTTCAAAGTAAGGAAAAATCGTAGTCGTATCAAGTAAAACAATTAATCTTGGATCACTTTTAAATCAAAAAGTGCTTGACACACGAAATCGTTTGTCTGGGTGTGGGCGTGCACACCCTTACACCATCGGACGGTTCTGATAATGACATGGGTCAACAACCACTCAACCAGGCAAGATCGGAGCGGCCGCCCTGACGCTGTGGTGCCGCCCCAACTCCACCGCGTACGAGGACATCCAGGCGGCCGAGCGCGGCAACCTGTTCGCCCTGGGCTCCATCTACCACCCGGTGGTGTACGGCGACTACCCGACCGCCCTCAAGGAGCGCGTCGCGCACTACAG